CTGGGTGCAGGCTGCATTTTGCAAACATTTATCTGACTCTCTGAGGGAAAGGTATGCAGTTAGAACTAGTCACAGAGGTGAAATATCTCACATTTTACTTCTTCTCACTTAGAGAAGAATTTCTTGCATTATAAGTTGCATTATTTAGCCACTAGATTTTCATTCCACCTAGAAATTCAGGCTCCCTCCCTAGTTGGTAAAAAGAAGCCAACACTAGCAGGACACAGCAAAAGAGGGTCTGAAAAGATGGGATTCATTTTCATATGAGGGTCCCTGACTTTATTTTCTGGCTACACAGAGCACTTAGATAACATGCATGATTCTCTAAGTAAGCAATTTTAATGTTAAAATTACAGCTGAATGTTTGATCATATGCAAACAGGTCTCAGGAATCCCATTCTCATTAATCTATTTTTATGCTTCCCAGGTTGCCCACTTCAGTAATAGTTCAAGGATGGAGATCATGGAAAGCCCTTCATTTTGTACTGCATGCAAAGCATGATTTTTTTTTTTTTTTTTTTTTTGATTGTTAAAGGTGTTCAATAGGAACAGTTCTGGGAATTTATCTGTAGTAATGTCTAGAGTATTGTAATCTACCCCGTGCAAGATAGAACAGGTCATTCTCATTAGAATCGATATTTGTGCATTAAGCTCTTCAATGTTCTCACTTTGTAATTAGGTCCCTGGAAAAGAAATCTAAAATTAATATTATTTCAACCACGAGAAAATTTGTATATTAATTCAATGTCCTTTAACTTTATGTCACTTAATTGCTACTGTAAGTGCATGGCAATCAAACCATATGCACCTCTTCAGCCCATGGGATATGATGATCCGTGGTTGCGTGCCCTTCTGTTGCATGAGAAGGTAAAGTTTGATGGAGTGTATCTGATGGAGTGTAATGCAAGCCCCTTTTCAGACCACTTAGTGTGGCTTCCTAATTTTGTTTTTGTAACTACTGTGGCACAAAAAGTCAAGAGAGATAGGAGAGAAGTAGGTGTGACATCAAAGCTGATAATTTGTACTACACATTATGACTACTACTCTGTAATGGTTGTACAGAAAGTCAGGCTCTGGCAGGCTTAATAGCTTAATTTTTGTCAATTATAATACAGTGATTGTGAGACGTATTTCAAAACCACTTATAAGAGAAATTGGTTCAGGCTCATTTTATCTTTATTTTGTGGTTATATAATCAAAGTCAAACAGGTAGAGAGATTTTTCCACATTATGTTGAATGGGGGAGCAACAAGTAGAGCTCACTTGCCTGGGACCCAACCTTTAGCATTCCCTATTATAGATGAGGGAAATCTCAAGAATACCTCTATTAAAATCATAGAGTGATTTACTCAAACTCACCATTAATTGAAGAAGAATGGAACTGTGTTCTGGACAGCTTTTCTCCTGGCACTTCTGTATTTACCCAATGAAAACCTTCCTTTTTAATGGAAATTTGACCTGAATATTGGAAAGAAAATACAAATTCAAAGTATTACTTTAGGATAATAATTTAAGTGAATATTACTGTTTGGTGGTTTGATAAAAGTCACAGAATTTATAAAGGCAGCTATTTAAAAGAGTAACCAACAGGGGCGCAGCCATGAAACACCTCAGAGAATCAAAGGGGTGTCCCTCTAGGAAGGTGACAGGACTGGCAGCCCAGCTGGAGTGCCTCTACATGAATGCACACAGCATGGGCAACAGACAAGAGGAACTGGAAGGTGCTACAGGAAGGCTATAACGTAGTGATTGTTACTGAACCCTCGTGGGACGAATCCTATGACTGGTGTGTGATTATCAAGGCCTACAGGCTATTTAGATAGGTTAGGTGCAGAAAAAGGGGTGGGGGTGTTGATCTTTATGTTAAGGAATGGATACTGTGAGGAGTTGTCCCTGAAGAACAGCCATGAGAAGGCTGAGAGCCTATGGACAAGAATTAGAGATCACAATAATAAAGGGAGCCTTGTGGTTGGTGTTTACTACAGGCCACCTGATCAAGGGGAGGCTATTGATGAAGCCTTCATACTCCAGCTCCAGGAGACATCACCACACACAGGCTTTCATCCTGCTGGGGGACTTTAACCACCCTCACATTTGCTGGAAAAGTAGCATGGCAAGCTGTAGGCAATCCAGGAGTCTCCTGGAGTGCCTGGATGACAACTTTTTAAAGCAAGTAATAGACAGCCCTACCTGAGGGGACATGGCTTTGGACTTAATGGTGACCCAGGTCCCTTCCAGCCTAAAACATTCTATGATTCTATTTCAGTTATACCTCCCCTGTAGTTTGTCTTATGGGGGAAGAAGTGTGCTTTAAAAATACACTCTGCCTCAAATACCTTAGAATCTGTTTTCACAGAAACAATTTTAAAAATAAACCCACCAAAGGCAGTGGTCCCACCAAATCAATATGGAGCTGATGAGAAATCTGTAGTCATTTGAAATATTTTTTAAAAGACAAAGTTTATTGCCCAAATGAATCAATAGACCTCAGCCCTTTCACAAAAGACTGTCCTCTTTGTGGGCATAATTTCATTAATGTATGTGATATCTGTCTGTCTATCTATCTATCTATCTATCTATCTTCCACTGAATTGACAAATAAACAATATGTGTGGTTACTCACGTGAACCGTGAGATGGGAAATTTTTATTCCCAAGAGGAGTGAAAATAATATCAGAAATACTCGTGTTTTGCAGCCTGGAATGTCATCTAAGTAGCAATGGACTAAATCCCCTTCTGGTGTAGTGTTTCTCTGAGATCCAAAAGTACAACCTAGAGTTAAAATATTTTGAAAATGTAAGTTTTTACTTTTTGTCATTGGTATTTTTGCTTATTCCTGTGGTGACACCGATCCTATGTTGGCTGTTCCATGTATCCATGCTGTTCTGTCTCATACAGCAGCCTTACACTTCTTGCCTTTTGCTGAATCCACACCAAGCTTTAACTCTGTAAGCACAGCCCCAAGAGCAAACTTTTGCAGCAGGGCAGTGCCATACAAGAGCAGCAAGGTGTGATGGTGTAGACACCACTTACAAGTCTGTTCATATCAGTTCTAGGGGCAAAGTTACCCTTTGCTAGCCCTGGGTATTTGCCTATTCAGAAAGACTTCAGTGTTAAATGTCATCACCAATGTAAGAGTGAAAGTTACCCAGAGTTTGCACCAAGGCCAGATACATAAGTTTGCAGGAGGGGCTGTGCCTTACAATCAAACCCATAATCATCTCTCTTCAATTTAGCTGCATTACAACTAGGCATCTAGGAAAAAAGAAAAAAGCATGATTCACAAGATTTTGCAAATGTTTTGTAGACGTAGGTGCCAATCCCTTACTCAATTGAAGGCCCAAAACTGTTCTTGTTTAACTAGCAGGAATTCATTTCTGCACAGGAGTGAGCAAGCTTCTGTTCTTCAATCCCAATTAGGTTAGGAAAGTTTCCATCACAAAAAAAAAAAATTATCCTGAGACTGCTTCAGGGAATGGCAAAAGCTGATGGGCAATTATTTGATTATTATGACACAAGCCTCATCTTTTTGTTTTAT